CTTTTCGCTCCCGAGGATCTCGGTTCCTCGGCTCCCAGGCTCCTTCCCTTCGGCAGCGAGATCGTGAAAAGAAGGACACACAGACACACGCCACTAAAAATAAATAAGTACATACATAAATGTAAAAGGCACTGGCGGCCGTCTGCGGGACATGATTTCAGAAAGGGGGCCAGGTCGAGGAGGCGCGACTTTGCAAAAGGCGCCCGGGTGTTTGTGTGCAGGGGTCGGGAGGAGGGGCCCGGGTGCCGGCTGAAGGACTGGGAGGGGGAAGCGAGAGTTGTTCGTGTCTGGGACTGTCCAGAGGCAGAGTCGGTAATGGGGTCTCGGGTTTAAGGGCAGAGCATGCAGATCCAGAATCTGCTCCGCGACCCGGTTCCGTTGCCTCTGCGACGTAAACACAACCGAGAATTGGGGAAGTGCACCCAGCGCAGTTGTTTCACTCTAGGGTACAGTGCCCTGTCCTGGAGTTCAGAGGGCTTGAAAGGCAAAGCCATAGCAAGTCGTTACGTGCGTGTGTAGACGACTTTAAAGAGGTGTATTCGTAAGCGAGGGTTCAACCCAGTAGAAGGGAGGTGGGGAATTCAGTGATACACAGAATATCAGATGCTGCATTGGGCGAGCTTGATTTTACTATGAAAAGTGCTGTCAGGAATGATGTGTTCGTCGTTCACCGTGTTTTTTGCGGATAATGTTGGAGGTGATTCCATCAGTGATTGTTTGGTCGATGAGTTTTGAGAAGATGCGTGGGGTTTTCTGAATCGTGTTTGTGACTGTGCCTTGTACTTCTGAATAGTTGAACATTATTATTTTATCGATTTGAAGATAACAGGGAATTTAGCACACCGGGTTTGTCATGAGGTTATTGATGTGTGTCAGAAATGTACTTAACCCACGTATAAGCACCACTAGAATTAAATTGAAACATTTGTTGGTAGTCGAGACTTAATATGTGATCTTTAACATGAAAAAGGCCGGCGGAGAAATCTTTCTCCTTACCCCAAATCAGTGACGCCGACTTAGATTGAGGGGCATTGGCAGCATAGACGTTGCGTCTCTGGACGGGCCTGTCGCTGGCTTTCCCTCTGCTGCCGCAGTCTTAGGTCTTGGGTCACGGCTCCGTGATTGTCGGAGGTCCGGTGGTCTTTGCAGGCCCTGGATCCGCCGGCGGTGCGCTTCCTCGCCGCGCCACCCGAGGGCGGTGCAAGCCGCGGATCCCGCGGGGGATTCGCCTGGAGCTGTTTCTGCATCCCTGGCCCGGGGGGGGGGGGGGCGGGGGGGGGGGCGAGCGCCATTGGTCCAGAGGCCAGGATGGACCCGTCTCAGCTGGACACCGTGGAGAGGCCCAGCCTCTCTCTCTGCTTCACTGATCCCGCCCCGAGTGGCGTCCTCCATTCCTCACTTGCAAAACGGGGCAACATCTGGTACCTCAGTGTACGGTATAGGCTGACATCCTCCTATACCAATGCTTTATTCTCCGGGTGTTGCATTCTAAGTCCCCTCCCTTCTCTCCCTTCCTCCCATTCCCTCGTCCCCCTCTCCTTTCTTCCCACTCTCCCCCCCCACTCCCTCTCTCCCCCCTCTCTCCCTCTTGCCTTCTTTGGCCCCCTCCCCCCCTTCTCCCCCTTTCCTTCTCCCTCCTTCCCTCCCTCCTCCTCTGTCACATTGTGAGAGATGTAAAAGAATTTTCAGTGATGGCCAGCCTGTTTTATGGCTGACACTGAAGATAAAACTTTCTTTTTTTTTTAAAGAGACAGGTCTGACTGGGCGTGGTGGCTCATGCCTGTAATCCCAGCAATTTGGGAGGCAGAGGTGAGAGGATTGCCTGAGTCCAGGGGTTCGAGACCAGCCTGGGCATCTTGGCTAGATCTTGTCTCTACTAAATCAAAAAATTAGTTGAGTATGGTGGCACGCATCTGTGGTTCCAGCTACTTGGAAGGATGAGGTAGAAGAATTGCCTGAGCCCAGCAGGTCGGGGCTGCAGTGGCCATAAACATTCCACTGCACACCAGTCTGGGTGACAGAGTGAGCCTCCTACTAAAACAAAACAAAACAAAACAAAAAACAGGTCTGGGTGGTCAGGCTCTGTTGCCCAGGAGGCATGCAGTGGCACAATCATAGTTCACTGCAGCCTTGAGCTCTTGGGCTCAGGAGATCCTCCTTCCTAAGCCTCCCAAAGTGCTGGGGTTACAGGCATGAGGCACCATGCCCAGCCAGACTTTTTTTTAGTGGACAATAACTAATCTTCTCTCCTTTGATGTCTCATCTGGTCAATATTTCATCTTTCTCTGCCAAGACCTCCAGATACCCAGTGTCCAGAACCTTTCTTTCCTATGCATCTCTCCCCTCCATCCAGCCCCCAGTGAAACAAAACCAAACCCCTGGTTTCCCTGGAGTGTTCTCTCTCGGTAATGTTGTCTTTATCTGGTCCAGTTACGCACACCTGGTGCTTGGGCAGCCTCCTTGACGTCTCCTTGCCTTGCACTTCAGCTGTGGTTAGTTACCACGTCCTGATGACTTTACTGCTGCCATAGCTGTTGTCTGCACTGCCATAATCTCCCCAGGTCTGCGTTCTGGGCAGTGTTCCCGCTCCTGCCCTCCAGTTTCTGTGCAGCACGGTCAAGCACAGGTGCATTGTTGTCTCTGCTTACAGCCCTTTACTGGCTTTTGTTGCTTTCAGGATGAGGCAAAAATCTTTTTTTTTTTGAGTTGGAGTCTCAGACTGTCTCCCAGGCTGCAGTGCAGCGGCATGTTCACAGCCACCGCAGCCTCGACCTGCTGGGCTTAGGCGAGGAGGCGTGACTTTGCAAAAGGCGCCCGGGTGTATGTGTGCAGGGGTTGGGAGGAGGGGCCAAGGTGCCGGTTGGAGGACTGGGAGAGGGAACCTCAACCTTCTGAGTAGCCGGAACTACAGGCACCCACTACCACGCTGGGCTAATTTTTTTCATTTATTGTAGAGATGAGGTCTCGCCAAGTTGCCCAGGCGGGTCTCAAACCCACGGGCTCAGGCAGTCCACTCACCTGGGCCTCCCAAAGTGCTGGGATTGCAGGCTGAGCCACTGAGCCTGGCTCCAGGTTGTGCTGCTTTCTGACATCCAGTAGTGATTGTGTGCTTCCCCATGGACCAGGAAGTTCCTAGCTTCTTCCTCCTGAATCTTTGCCAATTCATAGTCTCTATGCACTCAGAACTGGGAGCAGTGCTTGCTTCAGGATAAGTAGCAGAGGGGCAGCTTGTGGGTGAGGAGTCGTGGGGTAGTGGGACCCCAGTTACATTGTGATTTCATTGTGGTGAACATGATTAAATGCCAGTGTCAGCTGGGAAAACAGTTAGATATTGTTGGTAACATAGTAACTGGAAAACTGACAAAGATGAGGACAAATGGGCAGCTGATAATGCTGGGTAAAAATCATACTGAAGTCTTAACGAAGACTTTAAATAAGTGAGCCAGACGTGGTGGCTCAAGTCTGTAATCCTAGCACTTTGGGAGGCTGAGTGTTCATTTTTCTATTTGGATGATTCACATTGTTTAGACGACTCTGTTCTCATGACATTCGTTCTTAGCCTTTGGTATATGGTACAGCCATGTTTCATAACACTTGGTTTGTCTTTTGATTTTGTGTATGGTGTATTTTTCAGCAGGAATTAAATGTTTTATTAAATGTATTCATCTTTTTCGGAATCTAGGTTTTGTGTCATGAGAAAGCTCTTTACTATTTCAGTATTCCTAATTAAAATGAAAAGGAATATTCTGGTGTTTTCTCCCAATATTCTTATACTTTTATTTTCGGGTTAAGTGCATTTGGCATATGCACTTCCTGCTGAGTCACGTGCTGAGCTGCGACCACATGGCTTTCCTCCCCGTGGCCATCCAGTGGCTGCGTGTTGTTTCCTGAGAGGCCAGCTTCTCCCTGTTGATTTGAAGTGTTGTCTGTAGGTGTTCGGGTTTCCACGTGTCATTTGAGATTATTGCTGGACTTTGATTCTATTCCATTGATCAGATTATCTGCTTATACCAAATGACCCCATTCTTTGGTTATCGCCTTCCTTCACTCTATTTCCTGAGTTTATTTTTAAAATGATGATTATTATTTTTAAAGATAAGGTCTCCCCTGTTGCCCATGCTGAAGTGCAGCGGCACTAGCATAGTCACTGCAGCCTCCGTCTCTTGGGCTCAAGGGATCCTCCTGCATTTTTTTCCTAGAGAATAACAGTTGCGTGTTTTCATGACCTATTTGAGATGTTAAAAGAATAACATTTGCAGTTAAATAATCATATTATTAACAAATAATGATAATTTTGCCTTCTCTTTTCCTTTTTTTTTTTCCTTTTTGAATCGGTCTCACTCTGTCACTCAGGCTGGAGTGTAGTGGCATAGTCACAGCTACTGCAGCCTCGACCTGCTGGGGTCAGGTGATCCTTTCCACCTCAGCCTACCAAGTAGCTGGAACCACAGGTGTGTGCCACACCCTCAGCTAATTTTTTGATTTATTGTAGAGATGAGGTCTTACCAAATTGTCCAGGCTGGTCTCGAACTCTTGCATTCAGGCAGTCCTCTCACCTCAGCCTCCCAAAGTGCTGGGATGACAGACGTGAGCCACCGTACCTTGCCTCTTTTACATTTTTTCTGCTTAGTTTCTTTCTTTTGTCAGACTGATTTGGCTAGTACTTTCCAAAAATGTTAAACAAATAGCAGTGGATCTTTGTCTTATTCCTGACTT